AAATAAGCTAGATACAAACACATATACAAGTTTTAAATACATAATACTCACTTTCCACAGGGAATGAATCATATGGGGTTCCACCTAAAGAGTTAATCTTCTCTAATATTCCAATTCGTAATTTGGTTCAGACTTTCCTGAACTGAGACACACACAAAAAAAAACATTTGATTAAAAATCTATACCACATTATTTGTACATAGAGGGGTACTTTTCCCAAAGCTTCTAAATCATTACGAGCCATAGTGCTGTTACAAAAATAAATACAACAGATGCACAGAGGTTGTTTAACACACACCAAGCAACATTAAATAATTACATGATATTATAAAATAAAATAAAAAAGTACTTACCAGAGTTTTTCAAGATCAGATACAGGTCAAGAAAACGCAGAGAGGAAGTATGGTGCTGGCTCATTAGCCCTCTCACTCTTCTTAGAATTATCCTGTGCATTTTTAAAGTTGAACTCCTATCCCCTTATAAACCAAAATAACAATAGCCCTTAATTAACACTAATCATTTTAAAAACCTTAAATATAATTTAGAGAGGACAACTAAAGTGTAAGGTGACTGTTTTAAACTAATTCCATCACATATATATCTTATTTTAACCTTATAATGTATTTACTTTAAAGAGTCCTCTCCTGCTGATATTCAGTTATGTGTCTGCATATGGTATCTCTGCTTTAAAGAGTCCTTTGTCCAGGTGATTAACGATGCTTCTTTTTTCCCATCACAGAGTGAAAATCTGCCCTTGCGTTGATCTTCAGTAGAAAAAGCCTTGTATGTTTGTAAATGAATAATTTAATTTCCCTTCAAACTCTTAATTCTATGTATTTTAAGTGTTTACAGCCTTTCTTGGTTCTGATCTGCCCCACTGGATCCGCCCTGGAGTGAATGGAGCAGAAACACATTTTTAAAAACTTCTCTTTTTTGCACACAGCAAAATTATAATATTACCCCTATACACCCTCACACAACTTCATATTGGGCTTCCCTATAGTTGTGTGAAGTAAATAAACAATAAAAAAGACAATATCAAGGGGTCATTAAGATCTTTTAAAATTATTATTACCCTCTTCAAAGAGACCCCCATGTCGTTAATAAAGTACTTAAACATTAGTTCACAAGCCATACAACTTAAGAGAACATCCTTAGTTATCACCAATCATATTAAAAACCTAAATAAGATCTTTTTAAATTAATATGAATACCCTCTTCACAAAAAAAGACTTCCTTGTAGTTAAAAGTCTCACAAAACTTAAACAGAGACATCATTAGCAAGCACAAATCATTTAAAAAAAAACCTAAATCAAATTTAGAGAGGACAATAACGTTTTTAGGTGTCTTAGTGAGTGAAAATTAATGGCTGTTTTATTTAGTTTGAGCGTATTTATTTTTTAAAAACTAACTCCATCCCTTCGCTTCTGACTCTGTCTTAATCAACATATAGATTAACATCCAAGGCTTATAACACCTCAACCCTCACATCACAGGACAACTCCAACGTGTGTGTGTGTGTGTGTGTGTGTGTGTGTGTGTGTGTGTGTGTGTGTGTGTACATACATACGTAGTATAGACATTTAGTGTTTTTGTATGAGTCTACCAGACTGACTGTGGGTGTGTCTGCTCTGATTAGATGATGTCACTCAGGTGTGTCTGCCCCAATCTGCCCGGCAACACCACGATAACAAACTGCAGCACTGAGTCGCATTACGAATGCACTAATGATTATATCTGACAATTTTGCCACCTGTTCGAAAGCTATGGCTCCGATCAAAAACATTACCAGAGCTTGAGCATCAGGGTCTGGGTCCTCATGGTCCTCATGGTCATCAGGAGTGGAGTGCACCAGCTGGGCGTAAGCTGGTCGTAACTCTACGTCCGACCTAGAACCGAAGGTTAAGACCAAACTAAAGTTATGACTAGTGCACCACTTAGACTTAAAGAGCTTACGAAATGCTTTTAGCACCTGTTAGTGGGCTTAGTATATGATAGAGGTTGCATTTGTATTGTGAAATGTGCCATATGTTTTTTTTATNACAGTGTATTGGAGTTGTCCTGTCCTGGTTTTGGCATGCTTCCTGCCAGAGTTCTCATTGTAGTGCAGTGCTGCTAGGATCAACCTACAAAATAAATACATTTATTGTATAGAGAGAGAAAGAGAGAGAGATTTCATAGGGATTTTAGCGTTTGCAGGCCATTTACATGCACACAAACCCATAGATCTCACTACAGGAGAGGGGAAACCCCCAAAAAAGAAGAACTTGGCAAATAGATACTTTGGAACAACCAACATTGATTCGAACTTGCTGTCCAGCTGACCTGAAACGTGGTCGTGCCTGCATGGACTTGTGGTGTATTCGTGGAGGGGGGTCCGTTTGCACATCAATTTCATTCTGAAATGTACAAAACACAGCACAACTTTACAAATACATTTTTGAAACTAGCTTGAAATTGTATTGAAAGTGTTACAGGCTTGGCCTGTCACTTCAAGAGTAGCAGCCGCAAGGGGTTGTGGGTTTTGGAGTCTGTGTGTGTGTAAAATGTGATGGCCAAGGCGAAGTGCGAAGGTATGAAGAGAGATACGAAAGCATGGGCGGACTGGGACACAAATTCAGCCCGGGACGTTCAGACGCACCGGCCCACGCGTGCGGACCACCCTTGTAGCCTACAGATAAATTATACATCCATGCTAATATACTGTTATGGCTAGATTCCCCAGAGTCAAGCCATAACTGCAGCTGTCTCACTTTCCTCAGGGTCAACTGCATAAGAAGAACATCAGCAATCAATTAAATTACCAATATTATATCAATATCAAAATTCGGAAAGGAACTGCTTGTCTAATTCAGGCCTATAAAATAAATGCAATAGTGAATTGGCCACAAATCTCTGTCCTTATTATTTAATATTATTGAATATTATTATTTAAAATGATAATATTATATAATTTAACTTGGAATATCATGAGCATATGACTATCCTAATGCATCTAACTTTATGCACAATATAATAGTCTGGCCAGCCCTGCAGCCCGTTCTAGGTTCTGATTGGCTCTCTAGGTTGGCATTCTAGCTTCTAACTGGCTGTCCAGGTTGTCAATCACAGCCGTGGGCAAATTATGCTAGTCGTAACATTGCTAAACTTTTTCATGACGGTTTTCTCAGGGAGCTTGTCTGATGAGTGGACCTCTGACGCAGGCCTCGCCCTCTCCCGGCCCAGCCCCTTCAGTTAATGTATTAGCCTACTTTCAAAAACATAAGATTGACAACCTATCAATAGCCCCGTAGTCTGTATTCTATCTATATGGCGCTGGTCTGTAGGCCTATCCAATACAGTGTCAATGTAACTGATTACTGTGAAGAACGTGAATACACGGAGGTTCTTCCCACGGCACCCGAAGCCCCGTTTTCATGCTTTTTCCCCTCGAAATGTCTGGGCAGCTGGTCACCGGCTGACAACAAGTCAGAAACCCGAAACTACGGTTTTACTACGGAGATACCGTTAGTAAATAAGGTAACACAAGTTTATACATAATATAATATCTAATAACATTCATAATACAACATGTGGTTGAATTGATTGAGAGAGCAATGCTATAAAATCAAACAATTAAATATATGAATTATGTACATACATGTGATGAAGATACAAATTGTATTTTTACACAGTCCGTTCTGTATACTTACTGGTGTAGACACAGCTTCCTCCCCAGTGTGGATGTCCAATAGATTGTCGCTATCCTCAGTTCTGTCAGTGGCTTCATTGAACAAAGTTTCCAATACCTATGTAATAATATTGAATTTTTCATAATTTGAAGCGGTTTTAGGATGAGGTATACTTTTACTATAAATGCTGTGGGCAAAGTGCATGCAATCATATATGGCATCATGACTTCATCAACTCATAAATGTGTGAGATTTGACATGTCATTTTGATTCAGGCTTTATGCTTAAAGCAAGTAGCGCGGCTTACCTTCGCTCTCTCCCTTTTGGCGAATGCATTTCGCCGTCTCTTTAGTGGAGGACTCTGCATCGGGGGACGTGTAGGAATCGGCGTGGTGGCTTGTGCTGGCATTTGGGGTCTTGGCAGTATTGTTGGAACAGCATCTTTGTTCAGTTTGAAATTCTTTTTTAATCCAATTTCCTTAGCGAGCATTGTGGACTGGTCGAAACACGATCTTTCAAAGTGCTGCCCACAAATTGTAGGTTTCATCGACCCCGGGTTACCTGGACCAGCAAAGTCCGCCCTCGTACGACGCACTTGTTTGGTCCATATACGCGACATTTGATAATTTTTTGGCCACAAAAACATCCCATAGCCAGATTTGGAGACGGCCCCACATCCCCATACCACACAGCGCTTGCCGATTATTCTTCACGTTTTGTTGTTGTGCATCCTTTGTTTTAATATTTGCCGCTTCAAGGCATTTAAACAATGGTGACTCAGCTGTGTTCTGCTCAGCTGTGTTCTACTCATGACGTCACCGCCGGAAATGACCGAAGTTGTTGTTTCCAGAGCTACGAACGATCGTTACTAACTGACAACATTTGTATGCTGTTATAATCGTGATTTATTAAAAAATACATCAATAATAAAAAAAACATATGGCACATTTCACAATACAAATGCAACCTCTATCATATACTAAGCCCACTAACAGGTGCTAAAAGCATTTCGTAAGCTCTTTAAGGAAATCTAATAGCTCATCTGTGCTTATTGTCAGGCAGGGGATGGTGATACACTTAATGAGGACCAGGCAGCTGAAACAGAAGGTGACAGGAGCCCCCACAGAGAGGAAGAAGAGACAGGTTTGTTTTGATAGGAACTGTGCCCCAAAGTATAAAAGTGTATGATTTGGAAAATGGAGTGTATACTAATAGTAATGTAATTATCATTTTTGTAATCTAATCAAAAATACTCTCTTTCCTCTTTCCACTCCTAGATGATGTCCCTCCATGAAGAAAGACGGCCTTGGACCAGATGTTCGGTGATTTCCTCCCTGCAAGATCACCAGTAAAGAAGACCACAAAGGAGAGAGCTAAGGAGGAAATCCTTAAAGTACAGGGAGAGGGATGCTTTAGGTTTTGAGTGGTGATGTGTTGCAGTGGTGGAAAAACAAGTGGAATCTTCCACTGCTCTTAACATTGGCAAAGAGCTAACCGTCCAGTCCCTGCAACAAGTGTACCCTTTGAACGAGTGTCGTTAGTAGTACAGCCGTGGACATAGTGACGCAAAGCACAGCTTGCTTCATCCTGATCATGGTTGATCAACTTTATATTCCCTTAAGAAAAAACCTGCAAGCTAGACATATAGTTAGTATAGGCTCAGTGAGGTGTTATGTCAGTGAGAGTGTTTTTTATTTTACAGCAGCCTGTGACTGCCAATAATAGTTAAAAATGTTATTAAGACATATTTTTGAAAGGTTATTTGTATTATTTATCAATACTGTTCATAATAGAAACCGCTGCCTTTCTGCTCACTGGTGAGTTAGCCTACTGAATGGAGTGTTTGGTACATCAGTCCTGGCCAGTCGTATGGCACACAATTGCTATATGTGACCCTGCTCTAATCATTTTTTTTTCAGTCACATTTGACCCTGAAACACATTTTGTGAGTTTTAATACCCTGTTGGAAAGATGAGATTCTTAGCCTTTCTAAATGATATCCAATATTGTCTTTGTCCTCTCAAATAATTAAGCAAAAATACGTCACTTTAGCATTTAATGAAATGTCATCGAACCATGATTTGAGAAAAGGCCTTCAAAGTTTGCAGTACTTTCTTAGTATTTATTCAGAAATGAAGCCATAACCATTCCAAAACGAATTCATACTAGAGCTGTTTGCACCAAAAACACCACATGGCTTATGCGCACACATCTATTCCCCATGTACATGGCCATGTGGCACCGACCCAGACCACATTGCACCACCCGTACTCACACGTGCACCCCGTACTCACACGTGCACGCCCGTACTCCACGTGCACACCCATACCCACGTGGCAGGCAATCAATCCAATATACACATTTTGGAAAAACACTATGAATACAATACTAAATGACACTGATTGCATGTTAACCTCTAACCAACATTAGAATCCATTTGGCCACAAAAAGGTTAATTTAGAGAAAGAGCAAGCCAACAGAACAGATAAATATAGCTACACAATATAAACAATACGCAAACAGAACCAACAGAGTAGCTAACAGTATAAAAAACAATTTGAAAATATATATTGTACAGCATGTTATAGGAAGAATGACATAGTGTTGATGTTTAGGCACTCTCACTCATTAGGATGAGGTGTTAAGGGTTTGGGGGGCAGGTGATGTCTTTGGTTTCCTCATGTGCCAGAACTTCTCCTGATCCTCTAAAAGATACCACTGCCGGTTTCATCCATCAAGCCCAGGGGGAGTCAGTTCAGTGGGACCTGCCTTCCTGGTCCAGTAAAAGCACCCCTGTGGCGTAGCCAGCATGAAGGATTCTTCTTCTTTCACCTTCAAACTACCTTGGCGTAGAGACCACTTCCAGGCTCGGCACCTGGTGAAGCGTAGGTGATGGTAATGCTCTTGATACCCGGAAGAGGCCCTCTGAAGCTGGGGCAAGGAAGTTTGTGCCAGTCGTCCTGTTTTGACGAAGGTCTCCCCCTGACTCATTGCCAACCAGCTGGGAAGTTGACTCGCAGTGACGGTACTGGACGCTGACAGCCTGGCTGATGTCCTTTCAGCAGGACACTGGTGTCGGCGGAACTGCTGCTTAAACAGGCCAAAAGCCACCAGTCAGGTGCAAATTTGGTGTGGCCAGCAATAAGAAAGTTGAGGGAGATAATGGTCTTCCATGGAGTCCCACCATGCACGGCCAAGCAAGGGGTACGCAGAGGAGGTATCTGCTTTTTGTTCTTGAGCGCAGCAGCAGTTGTTCACAGTGGGCAAGGTGAAGCATGTTTCTAGCCCACAGCATACTGGAGAAGAAGAAGTGGTGGAGGTAGGCAATGACAGGCCGACCCTTGCTGCTGCAATGAGCCTCATTATGAGTAGTTTACCTGCTGAGGACACTTCACAGCAGACACCAAACAGTCCACACTTCCCTGGGAACCATAAAGTAAAAATGGGCCCGGGCTGGAGAGGGGTCACTGGGGTATGTGAACCTTGTAACACCAGACAACAGATGCAATTAACTAATGAGTGATCTATACTCTAATTCTAAAAATTTACCGAATATCATATTGTTACATTCCAAACATTCTGGTTTATCACAGCATTCAATCACATTCACACTCCTCACCTGCTGTGCAATAGTCAAAGCTGTAGTGGGATGGTGATGTCTCTGCTACAGGGTTGGTTGGGTCCTAAATTTGATCACCCAGCTCTCTAGCTGTTTCTTTACAGCTGGCGACCTCCCTCCTGGTAAGGCTGACGCTCCACCCCCAACGCGTGCGAGGTGTCCTTCCTGCTTCCTGAGCTTCGCGACTTGACACAGTTCGGAAAGTTGGAGCTGCGGTAGATGCAATAGTTGTTTTTCTGACGAACCAACATAGGCTGCATAGGCCTCCCAATAATGACACTGGGAGCAGCTCCTTCCACAGCTTCCCACCTAAATGTGCTGTTGCCAGCAGCACGGTGACCTGGGAAGCAGACTTAGATTACTCATCTTATTTTCCTTGAGGTTCCTCCGTGTAAAACACCCAAAAAAAACAAATAAAATAAAAAAACCGACCCTTCTCCTGCATCTGAACCTTGTTATTTCACGCACCACAGGGGACTTGGCTCAGTTGTTGTAGATCACTGATGTCCGTCCTCTTAAACCCCTAGTCCAGGTCCAGCTTGAGCAGCTCTGACGTTGAGAATGAACAGATCATGTCCTGAATGTCTTCAAGGACAAACACCCTTTTGGTCACCACACGACCACACGGTCTCCATCCTTGGGGCCCAAGCCATGGTCCTTGTAGAACTTGAATGATGCCCTGTAGCTTGTCGTGGAGAAATTCTGGAATAGGTTTAAAACATCAGTCTTTGGATTGTTTTTTTATGGCTTTCTTAATGTATGCATTGTAGGAGATAGCATATAGTCGTTGTATGTTTTCATTATGTAAAATGCAGTGTATATATTATTATTTATTTATTTATGTATTACTATTGTGTAAATTCCTGCTTCTAATTAAGTTATTGCAAACTCAGTTCAAACTCATGCATGGCTTTATTACCACTTCAATTTGTAAAATAGTAAACACTGCCAAAAGTGAAGTAGCCTTTTCAAAATCAAACTGCACCATGTAGAAACTTGAAAGTCCTCCCCGGCAGATTTGTGCCCATCTAAGAAATAGGACGTTCTCTGCTGGTCCGTCCTTTTGGTGTCCTCTCTTTGCACAAGCGGTCCTCTTTGGAGAGGTTTAATGTTGGAGCTTATCTTTTCCAAGTAGCACCCAAAATGCTTTTCACTCTGGAAATCATATAAAACATTGCATAATGTGTTGGTTCAATCACTCATCACACATGCAATTAAATCTTTAAACGTGTTAACAGAACACACAGCCCCCCCCCACACACTTGCCTATAGATTATGTTAAACACACTATACACACATATTCTATCTATTATAGAAGGGTAGTAATAAGTACAGGCTAAGTCGGCAGTGACTCCAAGAGTAAACTGCTTCTCACATGAGAAATACATTTGTAGCTGCCTATCTCTGCACATCTTTAGATAATTAGGCTGGGGCCACATGGATTAAGGGTAAGCCAAAAAAATATGTCTCCCCCATGTGGCTAAAATTGTAGGGTTGAAACATTTATGAAAATGTTCACCACAATTATTGTTTAATGAGTAAATTAGCCAACTTTAAGTTGGAGGTGGTTAGGTGAGCATGTAATTTTAATTGTTGTTATTTTGTAACACTAACCCATACTCACACACACATCGTTACCACAGTCAAAGGTATTTAAAATATATAACGTTAACGTTACTTACCCATTAGTCATTTCATTCATTGGTCCGTCCTCTTGACCATCTCCTCCAGGGGTGGTAACGGGTAACAGGGAACTCCATCATTAAATGTACAGCTACACCTGTAGTCACCGGCCCTCTCAATCTCTNTTTCAAGTTTTTACACCTGCACTTCAACCCCTTAGTAGATTATTTTGTCTTGCCAGAACAGCAGCTTTTAACAGATATACTTCAATTTATGGTTTGGGTTAGACAAAATAATCTACTAAGGGGTTGAAGTGCAGGTGTAAAAACTTGAAAGTGAATAACAGATATTCAAAACAAGCAGGTAAACACACAAAGACAGGAAGTAAAAACAGACACGGAGTGAGAATCGTTTTCAAATTAAAACAGGTAACAGTATTTTGATGATACATTATATGCACATTC